TTAAGTTAGAAACAAACGTGTTCCCCACCAATTGTCCACCATTTTTCCAGGCAAAGGTGGTTACTCCATCGGGGCGCTTTTGGGAGTCGTCTGGCCTGAAGAGACAAGGCTCTCTTTCTGCTGGACACTTGCTGTAGTGGTACTCCTCTCTTGACGATGGACGTTGGCTACATAGTGGCGAGCGTTCCATCCGCCGGAGTTTTACAGGTAAGGCCATGGAGCCCAGACCGGTCAGCTGTCGACTTTTCGCCCTTATATTGATATCCGGTGCGGTTTGAGGTGGTGAGAAATACTGATAAGAAATGCTTAAGGATCGAAATGGGTTAAAAGTTTAGGTGTGGCCAGAAGGAAGCCACCAGAATGGAAGGCACCCAGCTTGAAGCTGGGCAGTCTCTTATGCTAAGGACACATACAGTACTTAGCATTGATGTGGTTATATTCTCCAGGATGGGATTATCCCCACTGGTTTGATTGTGAGTATTGAAGGAGCTGGTCTATAAGGCAGGGGGTTCTCAGAGAACGCACTGGCCTGTTACCTGATCATAGCAGTCCAGCAAAGTCCCTTAAGTATATAAGAAGAATTCCACATATCAGTTCACTGGCTAGTGACCGATGACAGAACTTATTATATAATCTTTGAAGTTGTCTCTATGTCCAGACCCTCGAACTGGACCAGGAAGGTACTGTACAGTATGCTGTCTCCACTGTGTGTTGTCCAACTGAAGGATGAACGGCGTCGATAACATTTGATCTTGGGAACGACACCAAGTTGGATACTATCTCTACGATCAATGATTTGGGCTCCCAGAAAAACAGCTGCGACCTATTCGACGATGAGATAGTTGGAGTGTTTTGTTCGTGTTTTGAGGGTTTGAGACAGAGACGTGTGTTCTCTCTTCGGTGTCTCACGTTAATAAGGATGCTGTTATACCAGTCGGAGTACGAATGTCCAGTAACCAGATGATGAGCGAACTTACCAAACCGTCCTTAATTTCCTTATTCACGAGGACGATAAGCACACAACAGAGGCCCTAAATGATTACTGTACATCAGTGTTCACATAAGAGACGCTGGGTAACACGCTAGCACCCAAGAGGATACACGTCTCGAGGGGGATTGAAAATGAATTGAGATAACAATACAAAGAGAAGAAAATGCTTCTATAACTTTATGTGTCTCGTAAGTCCCCACCTGTACTATTGTATGGCGACCTGACCTCTAGAAAGACATTACATCCCCAGAAAAGGTGCAGTACAGAACGAGTCGGAATTTTAGTGAACTAAATCTCCTCGTTTATCTAAATAGCCTAAGGGCTTAAGATTGACAACTCTTCAAACGAGACACGACAGAATGGGGTTTATAGAGACATTAAAAAAGTAAACCCAGATCAATTTCTTGAAATGTCACGTACAACCAACACAAGCAGGACACAACCTCAAGCTCGCCAAGGTGTAATGCAGGACGATTAAAAGGAAATACTTCACGCAGAAAATGGTAGTAGACCTATGGAAAAGTCTAGCAGCTGAAGCCCTGGAATCGAGGACAGTACTTGGCTACAAAATAGCCGTGAACAATGGAGGAACATTGGCCTCCTTCCCCGTTAAGACCGCCATCTACTGTACAGTCCAGGTGACCGTTAGGTAAACCGGGTATATAAACTATCAACATGTCTTCTCTGGACAGCTATGAAATATTCTCTTTCTTCCTCAATGTTTCAGGATTAAGACTCTCCAGAGTACTCGACTTCCTCCTGGCGCTGTATACAAAATTGATACGTATTTCCTCCTTGTTATGTGGAGACTATCGTTCTGTCTTCAGTATAACACGATAGGTTTCTCTGACATCTACCGGTGCCGCAGCAGCAGAAGAAAGAGTTACTATTCATCATTGTGTAAGACTCACTTCATTCTCTTTGTAAACAACGCAAGTAATATATTTTTCTGTTAGCATCGGGGACCTGGCCTTTATTGTACTGTTTAATTATAATGATCGAAGTCAGACAGCAGCTACTTGATAACGACACTATTTTAGGCCTATACTACTGCCTGTGTGTAATAGTTACTATATATTCACCAACACTGCCACACCTCAGTATTAAATCTCACCAACACTGTCACACCTCAGTATTAACTCTCACCAACACTGCCACACCTCAGTATTAACTCTCACCAACACTGCCACACCTCAGCATTAACTCTCACCAACACTGCCACACCTCAGCATTAACTCTCACCAACACTGCCACACCTCAGCAATAACTCTCACCAACACTGCCACACCTCAGCAATAACTCTCACCAACACTGCCACACCTCAGCAATAACTCTCACCAACACTGCCACACCTCAGCAATAACTCTCACCAACACTGCCACACCTCAGCAATAACTCTCACCAACACTGCCACACCTCAGCAATAACTCTCACCAACACTGCCACACCTCAGCAATAACTCTCACCAACACTGCCACACCTCAGCAATAACTCTCACCAACACTGCCACACCTCAGCAATAACTCTCACCAACACTGCCACACCTCAGTAATAACTCTCACCAACACTGCCACACCTCAGTATTAAATCTCACCAACACTGTCACACCTCAGTATTAACTCTCACCAACACTGCCACACCTCAGTATTAACTCTCACCAACACTGCCACACCTCAGCAATAACTCTCAACACTGCCACACCTCAGTATAACTCTCACCAACACTGCCACACCTCAGTAACTCTCACCAACACTGCCACACCTCAGTACACCAACATCAGTAATAACTCTCACCAACACTGCCACACCTCAGTATTAACTCTCACCACACTGCCACACCTCTCACCAACACTGCCACACCTCAGTAATAACTCACCAACACTGCCACACCTCAGTATTAACTCTCACCAACACTGCCACACACTCAGCAACACACCTCAGTCTCACCAACACTGCCACACCTCAGTATTAACTCTCACCAACACTGCCACACCTCAGTATTAACTCTCACCAACACTGCTCACACCTCAGCAATAACTCTCACCAACACTGCCACACCTCAGCAATAACTCTCACCAACACTGCCACACCTCAGCAATAACTCTCACCAACACTGCCACACCTCAGCAATAACTCTCACCAACACTGCCACACCTCAATAACTCTCACCAACACTGCCACACCTCAGTAACTCTCACCAACTGCCACACCTCAGCAATAACTCTCACCAACTGCCACACCTCAGTAATAACTCTCACCAACACTGCCACACCTCAGTATTAACTCTCACCAACTGCCACACCTCAGTAATAACTCTCACCAACACTGCCACACCTCAGCAATAACTCTCACCAACACTGCCACACCTCAGCAATAACTCTCACCAACACTGCCACACCTCAGCAATAACTCTCACCAACACTGCCACACCTCAGCAATAACTCTCACCAACACTGCCACACCTCAGTATTAACTCTCACCAACACTGCCACACAACCAAACAATAACTACCATAACTGTGCATCATTTTATTTCCTACACACCAACACTCCCTCATTTCCCCAACTCATTATAACCTTTTCACCAACACTCCCTCATTTCCCCAACTCATTATAACCTTTTCACCAACACTAACTTCACGCAAACTCTGTCTTCCTCTATAACATGACAACACCCATATACAGATTTTTCCATAACTCACCACCACATTGTTCTTCCCTGACCGTAACACATCTCTGCACCCTTCGAGGTTATCTCTGTATAGATATGTAAATACCAAGATATGTGAACACGCCTGACAGCAAGACTCTGTTACCATTCATTGTACCATTTATTCACATGTCTGTATTACTATATATTATTATAGCATGTCTGATACCTATGCTTATGTCTAATGCCTATGTCTACGTACTATGTCCCGATGGACCATGTCTGTACCGCGCTAGTCAAGTAACTAGAAGATCTCATTTATTGTCCTAGTAATGTCTAGCAACTCTCCCTGCCTAGCTAGCTAACTTCTCTCAGATCGGCTCAGGCCTGCCGACGGCAAGGGGTTCTTTGTGCTTGCTCCTGTTTCTGTACCTCTTGGTTATCCTGCCAAGTCTTGTACTACTTATGGAATATATTTACTGCTCGTGCTCTGGAGTTTGAAGAACCTTGTCTAGGATTACATCCCAACACAATCTCATTTCCTGCCTTATCATAACTTTCTTAGCATTCTCTTTATTCTCGGGTGGTTCCAAGGCGTTTGGTCGGCGGTTTAGTGTAAATCTTCCCTAACTTAACCTAATCTAATCTAACCTAATCCAATTTGATCTAACCTAATCTAACCTAATCTAATCTGATCTGGTCTTGCCTAACCTAATCTAATCTGATCTAACCTAATCTGATCTAACCTAATCTGGTCTTGCCTAACCTAATCTGATCTAACCTAATCTAATCTAATCTGATACGATCTAACCTAATCTAATCTAATCTGATACGATCTAACCTAATCTGATTTAACCTAATCGAACCTAATCTAATCTAACCTAATTTAATCTATCTTAATTTAACCTAACATAATCTAGTTTAATGTAATCTAACCAAACTAAACCTACCCTAACCTTACGTAATCTAGTTTAATGTAACCAAACCAAACCAAACTAAACCTACCCTAACCTAATCTCACCTAATCTGAACTAACCTAAGCTAATTAATCTAACATAATCTAGTTTAATGTAATCTAACTTAACCTAATCTAACCTAACCACACCAAACAAAACTTACCCTACCCTACCCTAATCTAACTTAACATAACCAAACCTACCTTACCCTACCCTACCCTGCCCGAACCTACCCTACCCTACCCTAACCTACCCTACCCAAACTTACCCTACCCTACCCTACCCTAACCTACCCTACCCAAACTTACCCTACCCAAACTTACCCTACCCTACCCTACCCTACCCTACCCTACCCTTCCCTAACCTAACCTCCCAAAGTCATCACTACTCTGGATGTCCCGGCAGAATTCAGCCCGGTGGTGACTGCGGCGCTGTTGGCTGTGCTGGGCGTTGTGTTCGTCTTCGGGACTGTCGTCAACACCTTAGTCTTCCTGGTCTTTTACCGTAGACCCTCCCTCAGGTCACTCTCCAACAGGTGAGATCCCTTTCTTTCAGGTCACTCCAACAGTCTCAGGGCACTCCCCAACAGTCTCAGGTCACTCCCCAACAGGGCCAACAGTCACAGGTCACTCCCCAACAGTCTCAGGTCACTCCCCAACAGTCACAGGTCACTCCCCAACAGTCTCAGATCACTCTCCAACAGCCTCAGGTCACTCTCCAACAGTTTACCTTCCCTCAGGTCACTGTCCAACACAAGTGCCCTCTAGACACATAAGTGTATTACTTATTCAATGTTTTCCCCGAGAGAACCTGTTTGGTGCTTTAGTTATAACCGGTTTGAATTTTAACGATTTAACAGTTTTAACCTAATTGGACGCATTAATGTTTAATCAATGTCCAATATGTAAGTTACTTCCTAAAATATACTTAACACCAACCTAACACAAAACTCTCCTAACCTAACAACTTTACACCGGCGTTACCCAACACAACTTTACACAACCAGGACGCAACACAACCCAACACCAGCTTGACGCAACACAACTCCTCAGCAGTACAGTATAAGATAATATTAAGATGATTGTTGTGCAGGTTTGTGTTGTCGCTCACTTCGGCCAACTTGGTGTCCACGGTGCTGGTGGTGCCAGTACAAGCACTGAGACTAGGTGGCCTTACTCCCCTCCTGTCACCCGCTACTGCTACAGGCGCTGATGGGGGCCACTATGTCAGCCGCGGTGACGAGGAGTTCTGGTGGTGCCAAGTCTCCAAGGCTCTCATGGCACTGGCTGTAGAGGCGGCCATCTTCTCCGTTTTGCTCATCGCTGTTGACAGGTTAGTCGTCAGTCACCACAGAGAGAGGGAGGGAGGGGGGGTTGGAGGGGTGGCCTTACAGAGCCTCACCCTTTGGGCACGGGGATATCTCTCTCTCTCTCTCTCTACTGAATAAAATACACTGGCGTTTGCTAAATAAAATATTAAAACTGGCGTCCAGTAGTGAAGGGGTGAAAATTCTTAAGGCCAATGGTCGATGATTCTAAAAATACTTTCCATAACATTGTCTTACAGAGTAACATAGATCGTTATTTGTTCTACTTTATCTTTAGGTAAAGTAGGTTTGGTTACATGCAGTACCTTTCTCCAGCAATAACTGTACTGTACAAAGAGTGGTTGACAAGCCTAATAAAGCTCAGACGTGTTGTTTACAGATGACTGATGACTAAGCATGGTCATGTCCCAGGAAAAATACAGTTAAATTTATTTAAGAGCGAGTCCACCCTGCAGGAACTAGTTATTATAAGAGAACTACTTGCCTTATGGCGAGTATGTAGACTTATTCTGTGGCATCTGTATTGTCGTTAGACAACCTTCCTCGTCTTTCAGAAAAGTATTTACCATTGTTAGAGCAACACCAATTTGCGCAAAATATACTGGTTCGCTATTGGACAAACGTAAAATGAGAACAGTTTTAATGTACAGTTACAACACGAATGTCTAAACTAGATATTACAACTGAACAATCTTTAAAAAAAATACTTAAGAGAAAAATAGTGATGGGCAGGTGACATTAAGTTTCTGCATTCAGCAAATATTTTGTCAACAGTGCCGGTAACCAATCAGAGTACCGTCCTTATATCTGAGGGTTGGCGACCACAGTCCTCCACTCTAAACGTTCCTGTGCTGTTGTTAACAATCCTCTAAGGTTTCGTATCTCTCTGGGGGCTACAGTTTATAATTTCATTCATCCATCCCAGTCTCTGCCTTCTCCTGGCCCTCCTACCCTCAACTTTGACCATTAATAAATCCCGGTAAAAAGTGCTGGTAATAGGTCTCGCTGGATAATTACATATTATCAGTTACTGTACAGTTACTCAAACAACTATCTGTACTTGGGGTGATCGATGAATTTCAAAATGGACACTATTTCTCAGCACAATTTTGTTTGGATATATTTTTTTAGTTACTGTAAATTTAAATGTTGTTCTAATGTTTGTTGTGTGGCCTGTGCCCCAAGGTACTGCGCCGTCACCTCTCCTCTCCATTACTCCATGACTATTACTCGGGGACGCAGCGTGAGGCTCATAGTGGGCGTATGGATGTTGGCTCTCCTCTACTCCCTACCACAGATTCTCGCCCACACACACGCCCACCTACGCCCAGCCTCTCGTCTTGCAGCCTGTCCACCTGGTAAGATTTCCTGTAATTTATTTTCCAAACACAGATATGTTCTAAGGAGCTGTTGTGTGTTGTCAGTAAAGTTGATCTTTATTTGCAAATACTTTATATTTTTTCTCATATAGTTCGGCAATTTACAAACTAATTACCTGAGGAATTTGTAAAAGACCTGACGGAGTTGCCAGTGAAGTGATGAAGGAAATACTGAACAGGTCTAAAGTTCTGACAGAGCGACAGTGAGCCTTTTGTTGAGGCTATGGCGGGAAGCTGCCTGTGATAAGGAGACAACATAATGTAGGTAGTGGGAAACTCGTTCATAATAACACAGGTAGTGGGGGAGAACTAGTCAACATACAGTAAAACCTCTATATAACGGACTATATGGAGAGGAAAGTCCGTTACATGGAGGGTCCGTTAGATGTGAAATCCTCATCACACGGTTTATATATGGAGGGAGAAGTCCGTTATATGGAGGTTTGGCTATAGAGGTATTATGAGTTGTTTATACAGCATATCCCTGACAAAGACGGCAGCTTCCTTCCTCATGAGCCGCGTGGATCATGGTAGGGATTTGCCCCACATATAGGTACATTTGTGACTTATAAACCATATTAAGCGCTAGTATGTTGGAGTGTACAGAAGTGTTAGTTAAGGCCGAACATAAGACAGCGGACCGTTGTGTAAACCAAGAGAAACTCGCCCCAAGTTACCTCACCTCGCCCCCCCTCCCTCAAGTTAAAGTTACCTCCCTCACCTCGCCCCAAGTTACCTCCCTCACCTCGCCCCAAGTTACCTCCTCACCTCACCCTGCCCTCAACTTACCTCCACCGCCCCAACTTACCTCCCTCACCTCAACTTACCTCCCTCACCTGCCTGTCCCTCCCCACCTCGCCCCACCTCCCTGACCTCCCACCTCGCCCCACCTCCCTCACCTCGCCCCACTCCACCTCGCCCCAACTTACCTCCCTCACCTCGCCCCAACACCTCCCTCACCTCGCCCCAACTTACCTCCCTCACCTCCCCAACTTACCTCCCTCACCTCGCCCCAACTTACCTCCCCACCTCGCCCCAACTTACCTCCCTCACTTCGCCCCAGTTACCTCCTCACCTCCCCCAACTTACCTCCCCACCTCGCCCCAAGTTACCTCCCTCACCTCGCCCCAACTTACCTCCCTCGCCCAGTTACCTCCCTCACCTCGCCCCAAGTTACCTCCCTCACCTTCCCTCACCTCGCCCCAAGTTACCTCCTCACCTCGCCCCAGCCCTACCTCCTCACCTCCCTTGCCTCCTCCTCGCCCCAACTTACCTCCCTCACCTCGCCCCAAGTTACCTCCCTCACTTCGCCCCAAGTTACCTCCCTCACCTCGCTTACCTCCCCACCTCGCCCCAGTTACCTCCCTCACCTCGCCCCCACTCCACCTCGCCCTGCCACCTCCCTCACCTCGCCCCAACTTACCTCCCTCACCTCGCCCCAACTTACCTCACCTCGCCTCCACCTCGCCCCACTTACCTCCCTCACCTCGCCCAAGTTACCTCCCCGCCTCCTCCCTCACCTCGCCCCACTTACCTCCCCTCACCTGCCTGATTACCTCCCTCACCTCGCCCCAAGTTACCTCCTCACCTCGCCCCAAGCTTACCTCCCTCACCTCGCCCTGTTACCTCCCTCACTGCCCCAACCTACCTCCCCACCTCGCCCCAAGCTACCTCCCTCACCTCGCCCCAAGTTACCTCCCTCACCTCGCCCCAAGTTACCTCCCTCACCTCGCCCCAAGTTACCTCCCTCACCTCGCCCCAAGTTTTAATTGGATAAACAAAGAAAGTTTGGAAATGAAAAAAAAAAACTTTCTGGCTGAAGAAGAAAATTACAATTTGCTGTTTGTAGTCTGGGTTAAAAGTATATTGTTAATTACAGGTGTGTAAGGCGGGGGGCACCATACGGTACACGACACAGGTTTTTTTTTCAGTCAATGGTTCATTAAAAACATAACCTGACCTAGCCTGACCTGACCTAACCTGACATCGTGTGTAAATGAGGTAGAAAGTCAGATCAGCAACCTGGGACATGGTCACCCTATCATTAGACAACACATTATGCTTCCAATATCTTCCCAGGCGGTAGTACCTCTCTGTTTGGTAGCGGCCTACTACCTACCGTTGCTTAGAAGTAAAGGAATTTATGTTTCATGATTCTGTTGAATGTTAAGATTCAATAAAATACCTGTTTTGGTAGAGTCTACTGTATGTCTTGTTCCTATTTGTCTAGAAATAAGCTATAATACGTGTAAAGGTCATATACCAGCGTCGACTTTGAGTCAGGAAGAATTATTTTTTTTCTCTTCGTTTTGTTAATGGTACCTATATAGCTACAATAACTCACTCTTTCCATACAGTCATTTGATCTTTTAAGAGCTATTTCTTTGTTTCAAGTTATTACTGCCCTCTCTTCTGCTACAAGTTCACCAGCCTAACCATTGACTATCTTATACTTCACAGGTCAGGACGTGGTATCAGCAGTGCCCATCAAGTTTGGGATGTATTACGCTGTGCTTCTTGCTCTCTGTGGGTTCTTGGTGCCACTGTTCGTGCTGTGTTGGATCTACGTTCGGATGTACAGAGCAGCCCAGCGCAACTCTGCCCGCACGAGGCGCCACAGTCTGGGACACAACCCAGCAGAGATCATCATCCCGGACTGTCCGTCCACTCCGGACTCCGGCAACCACAACTCTGTTAGGTGTAAGACAAGGCTACACCGACGACGCTCATCCAATATCAGCTTCTCTTCTCTCTTTTTTCGAGAGGAGGGACGAGCCGTTAAGACGGCGGTTATCGTTATAGCTTCTTTTGTAATGTTTTGGATGCCGTATTTCGTTTTTAAAATATTTGAGGCTGGGGGATGGACAAAAGATATTCCATACGTGGATGAGGCAGTAACCTATATAGCTCTGGCATCATCTTGTACAAGTCCGTTTATATATGTTTATCGTAATGAGACAGCGAGTAAAGAAGTGTTGAAGATAATATGCTGGTGGAGACCACCCAGCCCTGCCACACCATCCTTCTCACGCTCTTCACTTCACCCCAAGATGGGTAATGGTCACGCCACCACGCCAGTGCGGATCATCGAGCCAGACACGGCGTCACTCTATGGTTACACAGCTGAGTGTGGCGCGTGTGGTCACAACCAACTGGTGTGTTCACTGAGGAACGGCAGACCCGTGACCTCGCCATTACCCCCTGAACAGCGGAGAGCAACCAGTCCGCGTCGCGAGAGTTCTGTCTCCTTCAAGTTAACGCCAATGGACCGCTCGTCGTCCCGCTGTCGCCAGTGTTTGCGTCAGGACTCTGCTTCATCAGCGTCTTCTGATGACCCATTATTGAGTGACTGTTATCGCCACCACCGACCCTCAAATCCGTCTGTTAGATGGACGCGGCCAAGAATGTCTAACGGATCAGTGACAACAAGAAGCGACTCACTCGCCTCTACCAACTCGTCAGTGCTGAGCGCCGGCATCCAGCGGTGGCCGATGAGGCGCTATTCCACTGTATCAACCGACAGCGGCGGAACCATCACCCGACGGAGTGCGCATGAGGACCCCGATGATGAAGTTGGGGTGGGACGCATCCATCACCCTGGAGGGCAAAGATCACTTTTCTTGGAAAGTGAAGAAGATAATTACGAAGCCGGTACCAGTCAGCCAGAGATTCATGGCTATGCTAATCCCTTCCGGCATCCTCGCTTGAGCCATCGGCATGAGTCAATAGGCTCATCGGTAAGATTCATTTGGGAGATCGAGGAAGGGGACGGCCACGACGACGACATAACAGAGGTGGAGCCACGAGACGTGCCTCCTAGGTGACCTTTGGCTAGATCGCCCTCACTCATGAACCTGGCCGGAGCCTGCCAGAGGGACGACTCGGAGTACTCGCCCAATAAAGCCACCTCTTGGAGACTCTCAGTGTAAATAAACTGGACACGTACAGTATATGGAGACCAGTGGTGAACATTACTTATCTGTGTTATCAAGTCGTAGGAGATACATTATCACTTTTACATGTATATTGTTAAAGCAAATCTCTCTCTCTCTCTCTCTCTCTCTCTCTCTCTCTCTCTCTCTCTCTCTCTCTCTACAACAAAAGTTTCATTCCTTGGCACTGGTGTCTCTGGCCCTCGAGGAATGTTACACCTCCCGGAAACATCACAGGAGCCAGCGGAATAAGTTATACATAAGTTTCTTTGCTTAGTCTTAATATTTATGGTTAACCTCATTAATGTTTTACCGATTTATTACATTAAATGTCTTATTGCAGAAAAAAGGTTAATCACACTACCCCCCAAAACATGAATAAAGTTAATTTAAAAAAAAGGAACATGATAGAATAGCATTGGCAACCAACGAGACTAAAGCATTAGATAGTTCATGACTTATGACCTGACCTGACCCAACCAACGAGACTAAAGCATTAGATAGTTTATGACTTATGACCTAACCTGACCTGACCTGACCCAACCAACGAGACTAAAGCATTAGATAGTTTATGACTTATGACCTGACCTGACCTGACCCAACCAACTAGACTAAAGCATTAGATAGTTTATGATTTATTACATGACCTGACCTGACCTGACCTGACCCAACCAACGAGACTAAAGCATTAGATAGTTTATGATTTATTACACGACCTGACCTGACCTGACCCGACCCAACCAACGAGACTAAAGCATTCGATAGCTTATGATTTATTACATGACCTAACCTAACTTAACCTAGCCAAAGTCTCGGTCGCCATTAATTACAAACACTATACTATAAACTGTATCTCATTGCATGGAAACTTACCACATGATTAGTTACCTTAACCTACTGGTGCAATAAGATATATTATTTAGCAACAACAAACAATGGTACAACACTAAATAAGGAGACTGAGCAGCAAAGCTTCCGTATTACCCACAAATGTTGATCTTTTAAGGTATGACGCGTCTGTACTGTACTGTACTATGTTGTACTGTACTGTACTATGTTGTACTGTACTATGTTGTGCTGTACTATGTTGTACTGTACTGCACTGTACTATGTTGTACTGTACTGTACTGTGCTGTGCTGTGCTGTGCTGTACTGAACTGTACTGAACTGTACTATATTGTACTGTACTATATTGCACTGTACTGTACAATATTGCACTGTACTGTACTATATTGTACTGTACTGCGCTGTACTGTACTGTACTGAACTGTACTATATTTGTACTGTACTGTACTATGTTGTACTGTACTGTGCTGTGCTGTACTGTACTGTGCTGTGCTGTACAGAACTGTACTATATTGTACTGTACTATATTGCACTGTACTGTACTATATTGCACTGTACTGTACTATATTGTACTGTACTGCACTGTACTGTACTGTACTGTACTGAACTGTACTGTACTATATTTGTACTGTACTGTACTATGTTGTGCTGTACTGTGCTGTACTGTACTACGTTGTACTGTACTGTGCTGTGCTGTGCTGTACTGTACTATATTGTACTGTGCTGTACTGTACTGTACTATATTGTACTGTACTGCGCTGTACTGTACTGTGCTGTACTGAACTGTACTATATTGTGCTGTACTATATTGTACTGTACTGTACTATATTGTACTGTACTGTACTGAACTGTACTGTACTGCATTGAACTGTATGTACCGTACTGTGCTGTATTGTACTGTACTGTACTGTGCTGTACTGTACTGTACTGTGCTGTACTGTACTGAACTGTACTGCACTGAACTGTATGTACTGTACTGTGCTGTATTGTACTGTGCTGTACTGTATATACAAACAACTCTTGACGTGTGGTTAAGTGAAACTGTGGAGGGAAGGTTTGTCACCATCTGGTATAAAAGATTGTCGTAAAGTTTCACACAAACACTACTGTAACACACATCACTGTAACACACACTACTGTAACACACATCACTGTAACACACATCACTGTAACACACTTCACTACAGTACTGTAACACACACACACACACACAGAGTACAGTACTGCAACACACACACAGTACAGTACTGCAACACACACACACACTACAGTACTGCAGCACGTACACACACACACACACACATACACACACACTACAGTATTGCAACATACACACACACACACACTACAGTACTGCACACACACACACACACACACACACACACTACAGTACTGCAACACACACACACACACACACATACAGTACTGCACACACACACACACACACACACTACAGTACTGCAACACACACACACACACACTACACACACACGCACACACACAGTACTGCAACATACACACACACACACTACAGTACTGCACACACACACACACACACACACTACAGTACTGCACACACACACACACACACACTACAGTACTGCACACACACACACACACACACTACAGTATTGCAACACACACACACACTACAGTACTGCACACACACACACACACACACACACACACACTACAGTACTGCAACACACACACACACACACACTGCAACACACACACACACACACACTACAGTACTGCAACACACACGCACACACTACAGTTCTGCAACATACACACACACACACTACAGTACTGCAACACACACACACACGTGATAACATTAGGCATCAAGATAACATACTCAGGGGTGACATACACACGACACACTGGTTGACATACTTTACGTGATACAGTTCATAGGAGACTGAGTAGTAAGATAGTGGTAGTATGGTGCTATAAGTGGTATAATGTATGGTGCTGCAAGTGGCATATTGCATGGTGCTGTAAGTGGCATAATATACTGATGTTATGGTGCTGTAAGTGGCATAATATACTGGTGGTATAGTGCTGTAAGTGACATAAGGCATAATATACTGGTGGTATGGTGTTGTAAGTGGCATAATGTATGGTACTCTAAGTGGCATAGTATACTGGTGGTATGGTGCTGTAAGTGGCATAATGTACAGTATGGTGCTGTAAGTGGCATTCTTGAGAAAAATCACTTTGGTGTGATGGTCAGGATGGATATAATTGGCTGGCACCCGTGTGATGTGAACCTGTGATAAGCGGCGCCCGAACTGTGCTGTGTTGGGTCGGCTGTGTTCCGATGTCTCTTCAAGGGGGAGACGGGGAGGTGTTGGAGCGCCACCATCCCTTCCCCTTCACTTTTCATCCACTGGAAAGATCATCTCGTATAACCTTTCAGAAATCAACTTGACGTACAGTAATCCACTGTTAACTTCATCTTGACCCCGAAGTCTCTGTGGGACATACTGTAGACTATACACCATGCCTGTTACAACCCCTCTGAACCTAACCTAACCTAACCTCTGAACTATTCTGCAATAATTATTAATGTTCTCACTACTGGATCAACTGACCATCCCTTCCACCGCACTCGGTGTTCATGCTGCATCTTCAGGTCACATGTCCCTAATACTAAGATGTGGTCAGATTTCCTTAATATCCTGTGACTCCAGTTAGTAAAACTAGACATATTGCCATCACCGAGAGATCGCACGCTTCCCTTATGTAAATGTGTCGTTCTGTTATCAGTGACGCTAGTCTCTTAATTTGGCTACGATGTTTGACTAGTTGATAGCAGGAACACCCTTTAATGATCACAACTGTGTTGTGTTACGGATGCCAAAATATTAGATATAAAGTAAACTTCCAGAGTTTAAACACTTGTAATGAAGACAAGAGGTACAAAGGTGAGTCAGACTGTGAGATATGCTAGGGGTTGGTGGTGGCCTCACCTCCTCCTCCCATCCCTACTCATAAATAAACAGTATTTTCTTTAACTATCTTTATTTAACATTCCCTGACAAGAACCTCCTTAAAGGTCAACTCCAGCCACGTAGAATTGTTCGGCTCTTGTTCATAATAAACAAAAATGAAAGAAACAATGAAAAAACAAGTATAATATCAACGTGGGGCCGAGCAGATACAGCACACTGTATATAAAGGATTTTTCTTGGTATACAACACTATCGACAGGGGGGGCGCCGACCCGAGCACCAACCAGCAACCTTTATGGAATAAGGTGAGCACTATACCTACTCGGCCACCGCACCCCTGCCTCAGTGTAAACATATTAAAACAACAACTGAAATAAATCACAGAAATCCGTCTTTCAGGAGTGAAATCAAAAGATATCCTCGTTAGCAATTCTGCCAACCATTATAAGCCCACACACGACGGTTGTCAGTGATGATCCCCGTACAATATAAACATTTCCCACTTGGTCTCACCATCAACATTATGCATTATAGTGTATCTAGGCTGTACTGTACTGTACTGTACTGTACTGTACCGTAGCGTACCGTACTGTACCGTACTGTACTGTACCGTACTGTACTGTACTGTACTGTACACTCGCCACAAGAAGTTCTCCAACACTCTAAGGGTCATACAATATGACAAAACGAACGAGAAATCTGAATATTGCTTTATGAGGAAGTTTTAATGCAAATTATATTACTTATTTTCTCCGCTAAATACCATCAAAACCAACAACATATATTAATACGAAATATTGAGCGTCTCTTCACAACCAGACATACTAACCATTCTGAGAAGACATGAGCCATAGTGTTCATTCTGGAATATATTGTGCCCAGCTGTTCCAGAACTTTGTGGTGAGTGTACAATAATACTAATACAAAATGTCTGCAACTGTCGAAAATATTCGGTCGCTGGTCACTGAACTTTGCGACCGTGAACACCTTATATTCTAGGGAGTGAGTGTAGTGGAAGACGAAGAAGAGCAACGACTGGGGAAGAATGTAGGTTTTGGGAGCATGGGAGGGTGAGCTGCCACACTCCTGCCACCCAATATGAGGAAATTTTCTAAAATAACTTTTATAATGATGAGATATGTGTGGTAAGGAGGTGAGAGCTACAGTGTGAAGCTAGTGTTGACAACAATGGTTCCAGTCATTCTATTTCCACAAACTCACTTTCGGGAAGGTAAGAAACTACTATTACTGTGATAAATAATGCCATGGTGTTTCCACCTCCTGCTCTGTCTACTGGTGGGGAAAGCAGTCATGTGGTTAGAACACAAAATATATTTAACTATTTACCACTTTTGGACTGTATCAACTGAGACAAGAATAACACAATAAAACTGACACTGTGAGCATCAGTCGTTCACAAACACAAAAATAACCCCATTTTTTACGATGAACTTAACGTGTTATTATTAGTGTAGTCAGCAAGTATAGCATGTATTTCCGCACGTTCGTATCCATATTTTCCTTACAAAGTTTCCCTAAGTAACGCCAGCAGTACACGAAGGTGAGATGGATGTCCACCTTTGTATGCGTTAAGTGATAAAAGTTTTCAAATAATTACGTGTACGTCAATGTGTGTTTAATGATAACGTTTAAGATGTAGGCACAATAACCTAACCTAACCTAACCTAACCTATCATTTATTTGCTTCTTTACTTAAAGTGCATCGTGTAATAAATTCCCTCGAAAAACTTAACATATTGTGAAGCTTCCATGAAAACTGTTTTATTGTGTGTCCTATTGTGAGAGGTGGGCAAGGATTTATATCCAAATCACGCCCCAGTGAACTTAATCCACTTGTATAGAATACAAAATGGATTTTTATGCGCACAGCATTGTGGGATTAGAGGAGGGGGGTTGTTCCCATGTGAATAGAAAACATCAATATTGTGAGTGTTGGTTGGTAGCCACCCTTAGTTGTATGGCCACTGTAACTTGTAACCTGTTTATATGTTCATGTTTTAGTACGTATTATGCAGCCATGCATATAGGACCCACTTTCACGTTTGCATATATGTCTGTGTTAATATAGTTTGGGAACCACAAGCATGTTGAGTTAACGTTTGGGAACATCAATTAACCCATCCTCAGGACAGAGTTATACGTGTGTGTTTACTGTATTAATAAGAATAAAATGATGGATTGAATATTACCAAATACAAAATTGGGATAAAAACAAAAGGACTAGTTATCTGATTTACAGAATAAGTGTGAAGTACTAAACGCACAAC